GTACAGGTCAGGTACAAAGAATCAAGCCTTCCAAAGATAACTTCCTTCACAATTCCTTCTAATTTCATACTCATATCTAATCCAAATGTTGCTTAAAGAAAACAATCTAACTAATTTGATCTCAAGCTGAAAAACATGCCCCAATCAGGACTTTTTCTTCTTTTTTCATAATCGGGTATTTGGACGGACTAGTTTGCACACACCTCGACTAATCATGTTAAAAAAACATGTCAAATCAGGACTTACCTGAAACTTCAACATAAAGCTCAGCAAGAGAGCTGAAACACCAGAGAAACTGCCCAGTGACACAATTTTTTGATTTTCTAACACTGAATTCTAGCACTACGCTACCTACCAACTGCTAGGCCACAACTTTGTACTATCGCCTTTTCTTTCCCTCACAGTTCATTCAACTTCCCATGGTTGTGCATCTTAAACTACTTAAAAGGCATGTTTCAGATGTTAGAAAAAATAAAAATAAAAATGCTATTGAGAAATTGCAAACCATGCTGCTTGCAGACCAGATCAAGTGTGAACTCTTATCACAACAATTATCAAGTACATATCCCACCACACAAGAAAATAATGAGAGTCAATGATTTTCTTTCATGATTAGCTAAAATACTAATACATTTAATGGTAACCTACAGAAATCAAATAAATTTCAAATACTCACAGACTAACTAGCAAAGAGACATAAACACAATGTAACAATGAGATGATGTAATAAATGTCTGTTACCTCCGTTTTCTATCATCATCTAGAGGCACTGAACTGCTCATTTCCTTTCCAACACGCTTGTCAGGCAGGGTTTGCTTATGTTCACTATCAGATGTGTCCTTGTTCCTATAATCCTTGTTAATCAAGGCATACAACCACTCTCCTAAGGAAGCCCTATTCGCATTGGTGGTAGACTTCCCAACTTTTGTTGCAGATCCACTCACTGTTCACAATGAAGAAGATCAAGAAGAGCAACTAGAAACAAAAGGTGGAGAAGATCAAGAAGAGCTGCTAGAAACAAAAGAGCACTTACAAGCAATATATCAAAATACGGTTGGAATAAGACCTTCCCAAGCCCTTTGTACGATGCCCTGATCCTCATCATCTTCAAAAGCAATCTTCCTGATCAAAGTAAATCAAGCATCAACAGCTACAAAATAGTAGCTAAATTTATACAAGAAGATTTCATGATGACGTTCAAAAAAAAAAAAAAAAAATGGACACAGTTAAGCAGTACGTAGGCAAGCATTTTTTGTGGAATGACTTGGGACAGCGCCTGCATACAGCAAATTGCAAATCAGGATCCATCTTATCTTCACCTAGTTTGCAGACAGAGCATTTATGAATAGGACATGTGAAAGATTCCCCAGCAGTAATCTTCTTCTGAAGCTCTTCTGCCTCAGCAGCACTCCCATGATGGAGCAGTTTTGCAACACAATGTGGATGGTAAAAACGGCCACATGTTACAGAAACACAGGGAAAGACCTGAAAAGCATTTAGTAGGCAGAAATTTGAGCAATTCAGATGCAGATCCACTCACTGTTCACAATGAAGTGAAGATCACCAAGCAACACAGTTATTTCCAGAAATGTGAATTGACATGCTAATAGATTCACCTCAACCATAAATTGTAATCAATTGTTATCACATGGGCATAAAAGAAGAGAGATGTGTGCCAAAAAAAAAAGGAAACAGTAAGATCTGCAAAAATCCAAAGCTACTAAGAAGAAGCAGACGAAGAGGAAAGAATAACGGCTGCAAGGTTTCTCTCTATGAAGTTAAAAAATATGCAAGAACATAATTGAGGGAGAAGATTGAAGGAAGGGGAAAGGAATTTCCTGAAAAAATAAATTGAAATAAGCAAATTTAGCAGGATATACAAGGAACAAGAAAGAAAAAACAAAGACGGAATCCAGAATATAAAGGGCCAGGCCAAACTATCCTAAAGCCTTCTAGACACCATAATAAAATTCAAACTATCAGATCAGAGAAGCCATAGATAAGGCCCGGTAGGAGCAGAGATAAGGATGGGAGGGAGGGGAATTATGCGAACATAGCATTGTACCATTGTCCAATATAACTTCTCACTAAACATCTCTAGGGATCACTTGACTAATTTGTAAGGTAGAATAATTACTTATCTCACTTTCAAAAATATCAGTTGAAAATTATTCCATTCCTGTAAATAAAAAGAATAATTACTAATTTCTAATTTCTATCAGCCTCATTAACGGTATTAACGGTAAATAAAAAGAACCCTAATAGTAATAAGAAATAAAATAAAAATCTTTTTGACTTTGACAGTAATTAATATCCTTATAAATCTTGACAGTCACAGTAAATAGAATCCAAAGGATTTTAATGAAGGGTCATGCCATAAACAGAGCATGTTATGAGAAGTAGAAGTACAAACCCCTTGATATCCTAATTCTCAGTGCCCTTTGGAAAAATAAATTAGTGTGTGAAGAATACACAAATTTTAATTAGTTTAAAATGATAGCCTCCATATTCAAAAAGAGTAATGTTCACAAATCGAAGTGTGGATCTCATTATTTTTCACAAATCGAAGTGTAATGTTCACACTCCAAAAGCGTGTGAACTAAATCAGACTCGTGTCTTTCGGCACTTCTCAATCAAGAGCAACACAACGTTTGTTGTTAAACTACAATCCCAAAATGTTTTGGCAGAAAATATTTTAAAAAAAAAATTCAAAAATTTAGTTGGAAAATATTTTTGTGTCCAACAAAATATAAGTTAATTTTAATGAACTTAAGTGGAAATTATTTTTGGCATTAAATGAAAAAGCCATCAACCCCACCAAAACACAACCACCGCAACCATGACTGTCATAAAATAATTTTTATGGAAAACATTTTACCAAAAAAATATTTTTCTACCAAAACAAACAGTGTAAATGTGATATGAAGAGAGGAATGACCACAAAAACCCTAAAACATAAATCTTTCCACCATTCCTGGTTGACCAATGTATAGACAAAACTACACATTGGTCAACCAGGGCATTTGGCTGAGTGGTTGTGTAACACCCTCTGTCTGTGAAGTCTCAGGTTCAACTCTTATAGAATGAATTTGCAAAGAAAGGGGGGAAGGGGAATGTCTGACTGACCTCTCTCTGAGTGATCAGTTGGCTTGCATTGTATTGCGCAACCATGGCTTTCAGTGTTTCATGAACTATAGAAGGCAACACTCTCTCATTATAGTTTTCACCAAGAGTGTGGTAGATTGTTGGCAACTGATCTGGCACAGGACGTGTAAGGACACGAAGAGCTATCTTAACCTATTCAGCACAAATAGCAGGAATTAAATACCAGAATAATTAAAGACAATCGACCTCCTAGCATATAGCAATGCTAAATAAATATTAGTGCAGATAATAAAGCCCAGATCGAATAACAAGAAACAAATCTACAAAAGGTATTTAGAAAGATCAAAATGCTTCCATAAATTAACCTCCTTGACTACCATATAAAAGTGAAACCTTATTTCGAGGCACGCAATTCTTTTTATCCAGGCTTCAATCAAGAGTTCAAAAAACTTTTAAATTTATGAAGAGATCAAGTATGCCATATCTGGAAAAAGTCACTAAAATAAACCAGCAAGTTTTGTTGTCATTTTATTTTGTGCATGATAAATATAAGAAAATCTGTAAAACAAACTTACCATTTGGAGATCGTGACTCCCCGAAGATATCTCAACAAGATTGGGACGTGCACGAACATCATAAACAATAGGCCTTTCAAACCAGGGAATCATCAAATGTGTTCCTTCAGGATAAACCTAGACACATTTTATGTTAGTGCAAGCACAAAATGATCCTATTTGTCAGGATGAATTTAGATAGAACGCAAGTAAACAGAGATACTGATTCTATATCACTGAATAAGTAACCCTTTCATAGTTAATAATATAATAAAATAAAACGTAAGTGGATATAAAATAAAAATGAAATCATGCTTCTCCATTTTATGTGATACCTTGCTAAAATGCTAACTTCAAAATACACAAACCCGTCATAGGTAATTAAAATAGCCTTTGGCTCATGCCTAAAAGTGCAATCATCAAATGGGAGATGAACCTCATGTGCCAAAACAAGGTTGTACATCTTGACGTTCTTATATTACACCAACAAACAAAGGAGAATCTTATTACAAATTGAGACTTAATTAAATGTTATGAGCATAGTCGTCAAATCGAGATTCGAAACATGAATTGAAATGCCTTGTATTGAATCGCAGGTACAGAGAATCAAGCCTTCCAAAGATAACTTCCTACACAATTCCTTCTAATTTCATACTCATATCTAATCCAAATGTTGCTTAAAGAAAACAATCTAACTAATTTGATCTCAAGCTGAAAAACATGCCCAAATCAGGACTTTTTCTTCTTTTTTCATAATCGGGTATTTGGACGGACTAGTTTGCACACACCTCGACTAATCAAGTTAAAAAACATGTCAAATCAGGACTTACCTGAAACTTCAACATAAAGCTCAGCAAGAGAACTAAAATACTAGAGAAACTGCCCAGTGACACAATTTTCTGATTTTCCAACACTGAATTCTAGCACTATGCTACCTACCAACTGCTAGGCCACAACTTTGTACTATCGCCTTTTCTTTCCCTCACAGTTCATTCAACTTCCCATGGTTGTGCATCTTAAACTACTTAAAAGGCATGTTTCAGATGTTAGAAAAAATAAAAATAAAAATGCTATTGAGAAATTGCAAACCATGCTGCTTGCAGACCAGATCAAGTGTGAACTCTTATCACAACAATTATCAAGTACATATCCCACCACACAAGAAAATCATGAGAGTCAATGATTTTCTTTCATGATTAGCTAAAATACTAATACATTTAATGGTAACCTACAGAACTCAAATAAATTTCAAATACTCAAATAAATTTCAAATACTCAGACTAACTAGCAAAGAGACATAAACACAATGTAACAATGAGATGATGTAATAAATGTCTGTTACCTCCGTTTTCTATTATCATCTAGAGGCACTGAACTGCTCATTTCCTTTCCAACACGCTTGTCAGGCAGGGTTTGCTTATGTTCACTATCAGATGTGTCCTCGTTCCTAGAATCCTTGTTAATCAAGGCATACAACCTCTCTCCCAAGGAAGCCCTATTCGCATTGGTGGTAGACTTCCCAACTTTTGTTGCAGATCCACTCACTGTTCACAATGAAGAAGATCAAGAAGATCAAGAAGAGCGACTAGAAACAAAAGGTGGAGAAGATCAAGAAGAGCTGCTAGAAATAAAAGAGCACTCACAAGCAATATATCAAAATACGGTTTGGAATAAGACCTTCCCAAGCCCTTTGTACGATGCCCTGATCCTCATCATCTTCAAAAGCAATCTTCCTGATCAAAGTAAATCAAGCATCAATAGCTACAAAATAGTAGCTAAATTTATACAGGAAGATTTCATGGTGACGTTCAAAAATAAAATAAAAAAATGGACACAGTTAAGCAGTACGTAGGCAAGCATTTTTTGTGAAATGACTTGGGACAGCGCCTGCATACAGCAAATTGCAAATCAGGATCCATCTTATCTTCACCCAGTTTGTAGACAGAGCATTTATGAATAGGACATGTGAAAGATTCCCCAGCAGTAATCTTCTTCTGAAGCTCTTCTGCCTCAGCAGCACTTCCATGATGGAGCAGTTTTGCAACACAATGTGGATGGTAAAAACGGCCACATGTTGCAGAAACACAAGGAAAGACCTAAAAAGCATTTAGTAGGCAGAAATTTGAGCAATTCAGATGCAGATCCACTCACTGTTCACAATGAAGTGAAGATCACCAAGCAACACAGTTTGTCTGTGAAGTCTCAGGTTCAACTCTTATAGAATGAATTTGCAAAGAAAGGGGGGAAGGGGAATGTCTGACTGACCTCTCTCTGAGTGATCAGTTGGCTTGCATTGTATTGCGCAACCACGGCTTTTAGTGTTTCATGAACTATAGAAGGCAACACTCTCTCATTATAGTTTTCACCAAGAGTGCGGTAGATTGTTGGCAACTGATCTGGCACAGGGCGTGTAAGGACACGAAGAGCTATCTTAACTTATTCAGCACAAATAGCAGGAATTAAATACCAGAATAATTAAAGACAATCGACCTCCTAGCATATAGCAATGCTAAATAAATATTAGTGCAAATAATAAAGCCTAGATCGAATAACAAGAAACAAATCTACAAAAGGTATTTAGAAAGATCAGAATGCTTCCATAAATTAACCTCCTTGACTACCATATAAAAGTGAAACCTTATTTCGAGGCACGTAATTCTTTTTATCTAGGCTTCAATCAAGAGTTCAAAAACTTTTAAATTTATGAAGAGATCAAGTATGCCATATCTGGAAAAAGTCACTAAAATAAACCAGCAAGTTTTGTTGTCATTTTATTTTGTGCATGATAAATATAAGAAAATTTGTAAAACAAACTTACCATTTGGAGATCGTGACTCCCCGAAGATATCTCAACAAGATTGGGACGTGCACGAACATCATAAACAATAGGCCTTTCAAACCAGGGAATCATCAAATGTGTTCCTTCAGGATAAACCTAGACACATTTTATGTTAGTGCAAGCACAAAATGATCCTGTTTGTCAGAATGAATTTAGATAGAACGCAAGTAAACAGAGATACTGATTCTATATCACTGAATAAGTAACCCTTTCATAGTTAATAATATAATAAAATAAAACGAAGTGGATATAAAATAAAAATGAAATCATGCTTCTCCATTTTATGTGATACCTTGCTAAAATGCTAACATGAAAATACACAAACCCGTCATAGGTAATTAAAATAGCCTTTGGCTCATGCCTAAAAGTGCAATCATCAAATGGGAGATGAATCTCATGTGCCAAAACAAGGTTGTACATCTTGACGTTCTTATATTACACCAACAAACAAAGGAGAATCTTATTACAAATTGAGACTTAATTAAATGTTATGAGCATAGTCGTCAAATCGAGATTCGAAACATGAATTGAAATGCCTTGTATTGAATCACAAATCGAATAATTACTAATTTCTAATTTGTAAGTTTGACATAATTATATCAAGTGTCCTTAAGATTTTAATTCACATAAAACTTAGCCCATTTTTGTTAGTAATTTCCATGTACTCTATCTGGTCATTTTGTTGGTTGATATAATCTAGTAAGTAAAGAAATAAAAGTTTTGGTCAAACTGTTCAACAAGCATGCACCTGATTTGTATCCTAGTTCATGTTGGATTACGTAGCTTAATAAACATATTTTACTCATATCACTAGAGTTTTTTTATTTTGCAAATGTAATTATAACTAAGGTAGGAAAAACAATTTTATAATTTAAATAGACAATTACCTATCAAAACAAATATTTAAATAGATGACAAATCGACATATTTTGTTGAGGATGACTCTGTTGTCTGTTAGGTTCAGGATAATGACCAAGGTCTCTGTGTTAGATGTTGCAATGCATGGTGATGCCCTAGTGAAGCCATTGCAAACTGATATTGAATGATTCTATTCTCTTTAGCTCAAGTCTTCAAAGCCACAAAGATTGCGCTGTTCAAGATAAAAACAACTAAGGTAGGTTGAAACTACTGAGCTAAAATGAGTCTAAAAAAATTGAATGCATTTGGGTCAAGGTTGAGATACCCATTTCAACAACTGAGGTAGGTTGAAACTCTGTTGTTTGTAGCATGTTGCACCAATGTATGTCAAATTAGGCAAGACTTCTGAAGGGTCTTTAACATATTTTTTCTTTTAGAATGTATGTCATGTTGTACCAATGTATGTCAAATTAGGCAAGACTTTTAAAGGGTCTTTAACATATTTTTTCTTTTAGAATGTGTATAACCTTATCAAATTGAGATTTGCCATCACATACAAATTCAAATTTGAATCCAACCAAAAATCTGTGCCAATGTCTTTAACATATTTTTTCTTTTAGAATGTGTATAACCTTATCAAATTGAGATTTGCCATCACATACAAATTCAAATTTGAATCCAACCAAAAATCTGTGCCAATGTTGAACAGGTCTATGATGAACAAATCTAGACCTTTAATTGACAATAAAAAAAATAATTGATGGCACCAGCTTGAAATACCCATTTAAACAAGTGTGCAAGCCCAATTCAATAAAATATGCAAATCCAACTAAATTCCTATACTTTGATTAAAAAGAAATAAATTATAGAAAGTAAAAATTATACAAAATAACGTAAAAGGAAAAGAAAAAGATGCCTAAAGCTACTATGAGCAAATTGGAACAAACATGCCTAAAGAAAACAAATTGGAACAAATTAGAATTTTGGACAAATGACACCCTCTAAAGTTATATATGCTTGATTGAGTAGTTAAGCACAAATTAGAATTATGGACAACATAAAGCATTAATTGATCCAAAAATACACTCACACTAACTATTTCCAAGTGTGCAAAGTTTGACCATTCTTTCTTTATCTCTACGTTCTGACTCTTGCTCAGGAGCAATCATATGCTTTACTTCTTCCCCAAGTTTGTTAGAGCCTTCATATGCCTCCTGGCAGATGTTCTAGAGGACTCGCTTAAACGTGATTTCTTTCCCATCAGGTTCATCTGATGGGAATGGAGGGAGCTTTTCAATTAGATCCGAACACAGGTGTGCATACATGAGGCAAAATGTTGGTTGGTTCCAGCACCGCCGTGTCAAAAATCAAGGAGATAACATCCTGTGCATTGCAAGCAGAATCTGCATTAGCCTTTAAAAACCAAACTGAAAGTAAAATTATAATTAAGAAAATTCCCCAATCCATGTCTGGGAGGTTTGGGGATGGAGGGGTAAAAACAAAATTAAAAATTAAAAAAAAAAAAAAGAACAGAAAAGAGGAACCTTCAGAATATCAGCTTTTGTGAGGCCAGAATCAATTAGCTGTCTCTTGAGAAGGTCAAACTTCTTTGGAGTCGGCTTATTTAGTATCCTAAATAGCAATCGAAGACAGAAGTCGGCATGCATAATTGATATGAAATGACATTCAACATATATGCTAACTTTAAAAACAAGAAAAAAAATTCTTCAGCTGCAAACTCCTGTCAACTGACATTCATGAGATCATTAGTTACTAGAGCCAGCAATTTGTTCTTGCAATCAGAAACAATATTAACTAAATTAAATCAAAGATAGAATTAAATTATAATATCAAATACACAGAGTAGAGATAAACTATTTCAAAACCTTAATAATTGATATAAAAAAAAATGGTTCATGACTTAGTGAAATTAACTGAATTGCAGGAATATTATTAGTGTCCACCATAGACACTAAACATTTAGAAGGATCCATACAATATAGCAAGTGATAATCACTTGATTGCACAGGTGTCAGGAAATCATACAAAGATCTTCAGAATAAATTACCCTTTCACTGTCTTCAAAACACGATCCTTATTAGAGAAGGTTCCCCTTCGAGCTGACCATGGCACCTCAGCCTTAATTAGAGCAAGAGCAGGTCCTACCTGGTTCATTGACAAAGCATGGCTTGATATTAACTCCAAATAGGAACTACTTACAGACAGACAAAAATTTACATAGTAAACAGATAACTTCTTAACAACACACGGCCACACTAAGTGAAAAGGCAGTGGCAAATGTCAGCACAGTTTGCATATACAGCTTAGATCATGCAATATGTTTATACTTTCATTTTTAAGGAACTGTGAAAATTCACTAGGCTAGTCTGTAGAACACAACTATCTCTCCTTGTAATAGATTTATAACAGAGAAGCTCATCCCTTTTCTCATTCCTAGTCATTCTACATTTTCTACCCACCTTTCAGAGGTGTCATATACAATGAGGTTGCATTTTCTTGACAACAGAAGGATGCCACTTCTCATACTACAGTCCCATAAGAAAACAACACTACGAAGAAAAAAAAAAACATGATATAGATGAAGTGCGCTAGTGTCCCCGTTCTCTCCTTCCATTTTCTTCCCAAATCATGCTCCATTCTTGTATAAGATGAAGGAACAAAACAGTAAAAGAAAAATCAGTATAAAAACCTTAAGCCATGATTAACCCCGTGAGCATCCCTCAGACCGTCTGCACAAAATTGATTGATCAACTGACAAAGGACAACCAGTTCTCAGATGGAAACAATGGGACAACCATATAGCAATCCCAATCAGAACTTAAAAGTTAAACTTCTAGCGCGTTTGGATAACATAATTTCCAAAACTTATGGAAAACTGCTAAAGTCGATAATCTGAGAAAAAAGAGGATGCCATTTATTCCTCCCTAGATTCCAAGGCAGTAGCACTATCTAGGAGCAATTATTATCAATAAAGGAAGTTCTTCATCGGATAGTGTTTAACACTAAACTTACTAATAAGCCTCATATAAAGATATAGATGGATTGTTGATTGAGCCCTTATGGGAGTCAACACTTAAACAATGATTAGATTCAAAACACAACTTTTTTTTTTTTTGATCGGCAATGAAGAATTTTATTGACTAGCAAAAACAAACTACAAAGAGAGGACAAGGAATCTGCTCCAAAAACCAACAGCCATTACATCAAAACAAAAACACCATTTAGATTTCAAAACACATTTATGTTGAAAATTTGAAGACTAGCAATCCTTAAGTAGGCAT